TCAGTTTTTGTGGAACCTAAAGTTCACAAGAATCTTCCTTCCTATGATCTTAGAGTTTGTCAGTCTGTTCCTGCCTCTTTTCACGGTATCTGAATTTGCTTTGCTACACAAGTTCAAACAGTGTATAACAAGCACAGTAACTACAAGATTATTTACTTAGGGCTTTGCCTTTGCTGAAGTCCTTTCATTGGGGCTTATGTGCAGAGTTGCATGTACTTAGTTCAGTGAAGTGTGGTTTAGCAAAGTACAGTCCAACAGTAAACATACTGAAAATTTTATCTTACCCTTCCTTTCCTACAGCACATAATGATAATGTCATAATACATAGTTACATCACTAAACAAGGTAGTTATTAGATCAGAAATCCGTACCTTGTATTATTTTGGGGAGGGTTCATCTTGGTTTGCATGTGGCTTTTTTTCCCTCCTTCTGAATCCCATCTGCCTCACCTCAGATAGTAGCAGTGATTTTTCCATATTGCTAACAAGCATTTTCCTTTCTGCCCCTGGTGTTTTCAAAACACTTGTCCACTAATGGTTCATAGAACAATTGTGCTCACTTTATCAGCAAATCTGAGAACTCCTTTTTAACTCCAGATGAATGTTCTCACTGTATTACCGTAGAGTCATATGAACAACACTGAGTTTCCACTGCATGTTCAAGTAATTAGGAAGAAATCTTCTGAGTTTCAAACTACCTTGGAAAGGACTGGGAATGAAAACTATGTAATTCCACAGATAAGGTGCACATCACAATCACCTTGCTTCTAGGGAAACATGCAACCTACCATAAGGAAGGCTCAGGGTGCATCTAAGGGAATACTTGTCTGTGTGTCCCCCAAATGGACACATGCAATAAGACAATGAGCGTTTTATTTTTGCTTAGTAAAGTGGCCAAAAGTGCCAAGAGCTGTGCTGGAGGCCCTCAGCTGCAGTGCTTTTTACTTGTGTGGCAACAGCACCCTCCCTGAGCTGCAGCCGACCCACTCAGATTTGCTCCAGCATTTGGCAGTGGTGTCCTACAGCTAGCTCTGTGCTGCGAGGAGCTGCCTGTGAAACTGCAGCTACCTGGGAAGGATTTTCTTTAGCTTCCAGCTGCCTTGGAAGACCCTGCACCTGAGGCGAGGACTCAAAATCACATCCTCTGGCAAACAAGGCAATAATCATATGTTGTGGTCTAGGCCGAACTAGCCATTGGGCAAGCGACAGATGCTCCCCCCTACACCTCTTCAAAGAAAGAGGAGGGAAAAAGAGACTTATGAATTTAGAAGGAACTAAACTACTTGAATGAAACATTGATAATAAAATAAAAATAAAATAATGAAATATATACAAAACCATCTCAAGCTCCCAGGATGACAATCACGCCACCAGCTGGCACAGGAAAAGTCCTGGACTGTACTCAGTGACAGACAGGAACTGGATTCTGGATCTGGATTCAGGATCAGGATCAAAGGCAGATGAACAGACAGAGTCCTCCTCAGACGCTGGCCACTGAAGAAAAAAGGTTGACCCTTTGAACCCTCAGCTTTTATACTAAGCATGATGCAGATGGGATGGAATATCCTGTTGGTCAGTTTTGGGTCATCTGTCCTGTCCACTTGTCCAGGTAGGTGGGACCCCTCTACACTTTTCTGCTTCCAACCCTCCAACGGGCCAAATAACAAATTTAGCTGTCCTCGGTTGTTTTAGTAATAAGTTGGCACCCAACTTGGGGCTTGAATCCCCGGCCGTGAAATTAAGAGTCTCATGCTCTACAGGTAAATCCCAGCTTCAACCTGTACTTGGGAATTTCAGCCTGCTTGTATCTGCCCTTTCTTCCCTTAGGGAAAGCAGCAATAAGGCCATGATTTGTTTTGTTTTGTTTTGTATTGTTTTGTTTTGTTTTGTTCACCAGAATGTCCGAGCAGGTTCAAGCACTTTGTTGAGGGACTCAGGGACAAGTTCAAACCCCATGCTTAGAGGAACTCTGCTCATCTCTTGCTTAGGGACAATGTGACAAAGTGAGGCCAAACCAAGCAGCTCTTGGAGGCCAAAAGCTAAGACCCTGACTTTTGGTACCTTCAAAGGTTGTGTGGCTAGAAGTCCCACTTGCCTCCCAAGGCTTCCTCCTTCTTCAAGGCAAAAGTAAAACTGTTAAGTAACTGGAGATGAAGAAAAAGCAACAAACCTAAAAGAAACCTTTTGTCACCAATGAAAGTGGGAGTCTAAAGTCTAAGAGGAGGTGAACCCAGGACTTGGGCATGGAGACATGACAGTGTTTTAGCCACTCTGCCACACAGTTGAACTCTGCTGGGGCTCTTGCTACAGCTCCATTCTTGCTAGACTCCAGAAGACAAGGAAATTCCTGGAGAATGGGGTCAGTCTTGGAGGACAGAGGGAGTCAAGCCCATTCCCTTCTAGCACCAATGTTTTTTATGAAGCTCTCAGTGCCCCTTGCAGTAGGTCCTGCCTGTGAGACAATTGGATCAGAAGGTTACTCTGAGCCCCTAAAGGGCTGATGTTTCCTTGTGAGAGATTTTTTTAGTTTGTCCCCTGGGTTTTCCAGATGAATCTCTGCTTGTGATCTGCAGACCCAATAGCTCTTGCTTAAGAAACAAAATGCTCCATAGAATCAGGTAGAACAGGTCTCTATTTACATCAAAGAGTGTTGTGGGAAGGAGCAAAAGCGCTGCTCACTGCCACTACTACTCTCTTTGCAGGAGTACACACTTAAAGCTTCTTTCTTTTCAAAAGACTGTTTGTGGATTTCTCTGCTGGAAATACTTGAATCTGTTCAATTTTGTCATCCAGTTCCAATGGAAGTACAGGTGTGAACTGAACTGCAAAGTTCTAAGAAAGGGGTGGAAGTTTGACATGTACAGTTTGACCTGGAACTGCCAAGCACTTGTAAATAAGAATTCTCTGACAGTGCCCGCTTGGGAGCCTGCTTATAAGCAGCACTGACCCAGCACCAAAACTGATGTGGCTGCTATAATCCAGAGCACTGTAAGGAACACCATCCTGGCATGCATGTAAATTCCTGTCAGAATAATGTTTTTTTCAGTGCTTACTAAAAGCATACAAGTGTCTGTGGGAAAACACCAGCATTCACTGGTAAAACCCTCTACTCCTTTTTGGAGGGAGCTTGCTTTATTGTTTCTGAAGTCATTTTACATTCTTAGCCATAGACTGCCCTGCTGTGGTGAAGCCAAAATCTGCAGCCTTACTGACTTTTATACAGGATCTTCAACTTCCTTATTTAGAAGTAGTTTGCCCATCACTAGAAGGGACAGAAAGAGCCCGTGCAAAATACAGAACAAATGAAAAAAATGAAGCAAGAGATATTTTAATCTTCAGTGGAATATTTTCTCTCTTTTTCATAGGAAGTAAGGCAGATTTAATCACACCTTGTATGTGTTTGTCTCCAGAAGCTGTTTGCTGACTTCAGCTAAATTTAACTGCAAAAATTAAGATCTCAAAGACAGCTAAATGTCAACAGATTTTGAGAAAAGCATCTTTTTTTTTTTTTTTTTTTTTTTTTGCAAACGACTCAGAAAATTATGGTTGTAGTGTCAGCACAGAAATTATTAGACAACAAAGTATCCACAGAGGAGAGTGACCTTGTAAGTGTTTCAGGAGAAAAGTCTCAGTCACATCTCACAACGAACCTAGAGATAGAAATCCTTAGAAACCCATACTAAAGTAAAAAACCCTGCTTCATAAGTTCTGGAGCTTGCTTTGTAAACTGACGAAACCTCCTTCTTCTTAGATCAGTTATGCCTCCCCCTCCACAGAAATTATCTCTCTAATTATAGTATTCTAAAGATGCAAAACTTCTGGAGTTTCATTTTTCTGTGCATTCCTACCAGTATCTGCACGCTAAACAGCAACATATTTGGCCGGGCTAGTAGTAGCCCAAAATGGTGCCCCCAATTCTTTAGGTAGCAAAGATGTCTGTATTCAGGTTGGCTGTGGCTTAAGCAGTTACTTGTTCTCAGAAGGGTAAATTAGTTAATGAACACAATTAGTGTTCATTAACAGAGACAAAATAATATCAAAAGCATTTTTCACCTGCAACACAAGCTGTTGATTACCCTCATTGTACTTCAGATGATTCAAGAGAGGTGCCCATCTCTCAGCTAATCTCCTTCAGCTCCCCTTACAGTAAGATCAGATAAACAGGTACTTTAGAATGCAATTCAGCTAACCTCCTTTGGATATGTCCTTTGTTGTGTGACAAATGAATGGTGAAAATGGCTGTTTCTCTCCATTTCCTGTAGATGAAGCCTAGGATTACTAGCTCAGAGACGGGCATCTCTTTTGAAAACATTGGAATTTGGACACCTCTTGCTATGGTACTGAATATGCATCCCTCAAGCACTGCAAATGAACTTCATATTCTCACAGCTGAGGGACTATTTTCTTAGTGAAAATACGTAATTGTGATGAACTGAGACAGTTCTAACATACACAGCCCTGCTAAAAATGGATCTGGTGCTAAACTAGAAGTTTCTCTGAGTCATCTGCATGACTTCCTGATGCATTATTCATCTTTGGCTTTGTTCTGGCAGACATCAACTTCTGCCCCACCTTACGCATTGGGTCCTCCAGATATTTCTGGACATTTCTGACACTTCAGTTTTTAAGGAGACAGAAATAAATAATCAAAAAAATTAGGAAATATGTCAGCTGACTTCCTGTAAGTTGGAAATGAACTTCTCTTCTTTTTTAAAACTCAGGCTCATCAAGACAGCACGTGAATAAGTACAAAACCCATGTTTTTTGAAATGTGCTTTTAATCAAACAGAAAATAAGCTGATTATAAAAGAACTCCAAAGGATCTGCACTCGGAAGAATACAAATTTGTGTTCTCATTTTGTGCACAAATAAATAGAGCAGCGTTAAAAATCATCAGAGAACAGGGTACAATAATTGGGAAAAGTGAAGTTCAAAAATAGTCAAGGAAGATCAAAACGGTGCATAGACCTTTTAGTTGAATGCTGCTAGGTTTTCTCCACTTCATTTTGATGTTAAACTGATGGCCCTCTTGATACGGTTCAGAGTTCTTGCCTTGTCATTTTCTTCTGTACTCTGTGACTCACTGGATTGGGAGCTGCTGCATTCAGTGTCTTGACAGCTGCAGCTTTCCACATATATATACTCATGTGAAATTGAATGCCCAGTGGGGCATTTCAGTTCCACTTTCCTCACAGAAGTCCTTGATTCCCTGCAGCAGGAACAGCTGTGCTCCATAGAATTAGCCTCAGCAGAGTATCTGTTGAACATGGAAAAAGGCAACATTACTCTGTGCCAGAAGCCAGCGTACAGAGGAGAGGCTGAAATCAGGTACAGAACTCCCATGAGAAGTTTCGAATAATATGTAGAAGAGCCACAGTTGTGGCTAATGGAAGTGCTAAGCTCATCTGACAGGGCAGTGGTTATAACAATATGTTTTTAAAATTCTTTGCATTTGCTGAGTTTTTTTTCTGGTAGAACAGTTAGTATCGAAGTCCTAGTAAAAAAAACCCAGTGAGTCCTAGGAACTCATCTTCCTTAGATTCCTCTCATCATTCCAGTGCTCATGGATGTTAAATACACCAGATCAACAATTAAGGTCAGACAAAGAAAGCCCTGACCTGAATAAGAAAACTGCATAGACAGGTGACTACAGTGCCATCTACAATGATACCACATCAATCAGTTGGCTACAAGGGCTTCAATTGCATCCTGTGAATCAATGTACAAATCCAAAGCCAGGCAGTGTTAACAGGAAGGGGAAGCAGCAGCTCTTTCTGTTCCTATCTCAGAGCAAAGTGTTTTTTGCAGCCTTGTGTTCATCAGCTTCCCAAACACCATTCCTAACCTGCAGAATCTGTAAATATCAGGCTATAAACTGTGTGGAGAACCATCTTTTTCTTTTATTTGTGTGCAGAGGCAACCACAGCAAGACTAGAAGATGATAAGGTATTTCAAAATACTAATAAACCCACTGGCTAATGGGGGTTCAGTCTGAGACTAATGATCAGTTTTTTTCCCCACATAAGGTGCCCTGTGACATATTCAGTGATAGGCAGAAAATGACAGTTTCTTTGGGGAGTTAGAATTATGTTTTTCCAGTGTTTTAATAGCTCACTACCAGGTCTCCTACTAGCCACTTTTCTTGTAGATCTCTCATTTCAGAGAAAAATGTACAGTGAAACTACCCCACTAACACTATCCCTAAAGCATTTGTTTTCTAATTTCTTTACTGTATAAAAATTGTGCATGTTTGAATCTTCCTTTAAAAGATATATTTGTATTTCATTTTAGATGTTAATTATTGGGAAGCAGCTTTTCAGCTTATGAGCATCAGGTCTGGTTGCTCTCTGGGCTCGTTCCCATTGCAGGAAATAATCCATGTTCTTTTGTGATTTCTAGCCAAGGTGGCCTGACACAAATTACAGACAAGCCAGCTCTTAATGGATGAACAGACCTTATCATAGCTGGCTGGATCCCAAGGCAATTTAGTACACTCTTCTGTTTTGTATTGAGACAAATCAACTGTTCGGTCACAGATTTCATCATTTTGTTGCCCATGGTTTGGGAAGCTGATAGTTTCAGGTCTTCTACCATTCTGTAGTCTACCTATTTATTGTTCCTTTTATATAAACAAGCTCAATGCCAGCAGAATTCAAATCTCATTGTCCGATTAGTTTACTTACAGTGAGAAAGTTCCACATGTTCCTTCACATTCAGTCATGACAACTCTGTCCACAGAACGGCAGCCCCTATAGGTGATAAAGTCTGTTCTTTCACGGACAGAGCACGGTGTGGAACTATCCAGAGGTGCACCTATAAGGCAAGATCAGAAAGCACATTCAGTGAAACAGCTCCAGAAGTTTCTTACAGTTCAGCACTCTCTGGGCTTCACTAGTGCATTCAAATAATTGTTTTAAGTGGTCTTTCTGCTTCAGCTTGAACCTTCCCAGAGAGATCAGACAGTGAATGCTTGGAATAACAAACATAAATATAAAAGTATCTATTTAAAAACATATATGCCTTTATGGCTGCAAAGTGGGTTGATTTAAGAAGAAAATTCATTCTGTGTATTGTTGATTCAGGTACACTTGCATACTTACAGGTTTTGCAACAACCATTAGGTAAGAGTGTAATCGTTCCCTAAAAGAACAAAGAAACAGGAAAAATAATATTATTTTCTTTCCCTGTATTAAAGAAGCTTTTAGACCAATAACCGAAGAGACCAGTTCCTCAAAGGCTGGAAATAAACAGTGAAAACTCTAGCACCGATCTGAATAAACGAAGATAATGGTCTCTTCCAGACTTGAAACCTATCAATTTACAAAGGATTTTGGAAATAAAGATAATGCTTTGAAGGAAGTCTGTAGTTAACATCATGCAGTTTTTCCTCAGAAACAATTCCAAAAAAATGTTTTTTCAGAGACCTCTGTATTTGAATGTATATGCATGGTGTTACTGGCAGCCTACTGACTGAACAGCTTGTGCTTCTGTAACATTCAAGAAAACATGATTCTTGTTCAGACAGGACCCCACACAAAACAGTGAGGATGTTGTATCTCAACGCTGACCAGTGTTTTGGCTACTGAGAGACAGCTGCCAGTTATAAGCCTTGCACTCTCATCCAGATATCTTATTTTATATACTCTATAGGTCTGTGCGTGAATGCAGCAGAAACTTTTACCCTCGGGACTGAGAAACTTTGGTGAAAGGTCATCAGAGCTTAATTTTAGTTTTGTTGCTAGTTAGGTGGCTGAAATAAGCTGAAGTAATCTATGCATTGAGTAGAGGGTAAGTTTTCCATATTTACTTACAGGTTTGCAGCTTTCCTCATTGAATGCTGGGCAGGTAATCTCAGATGTGGAAGAGATAAGCTGATTGTGGATATTTGCACAGCTATAAATGGTGCAGTTGTTGTAAGGATCATTTTTAAACTCTCCAGGCTGCAAGGAAAATACAAAATGTAGTAACGAAATCTGAAGAGATCTCAGACTGAAATTTTCCTGTCCTCTGACAATGACTTTCCTCTTGTTTCACAGACAATTATTTTTAGGTTAACAGCCATTTTGGGTACAGATATTGGGTACATGTATTGCAGTATGCTATACGTGGAGACACTCTTCAGTTTTACATGGGATTTCCCTTGGAAAAGAAAAATCCCTCTGAAGTATGTAAAGTACGTTAGAGTTATTAATAAAATCATCCATGCCAATGGATTTTGCCTAGGGTAAGCCAAACTGTTATATGGTAATTAAGAACAATCCTAAATTTTCACCCTATAGGGGCAATAAAATAATTTCATGTGTAGGCTTTACTAGTGTTTTGCAGGACACAGAAATCAAATAATAGAGAAAAGCCCAAGCTTCCAGACATCACAAGAAAAACCCTTCTAACGGTACTGGATTTGTCATTCCAGGAAGAGCCTTCCAGAAAATTTGATTTCTTGAGTCCTTCCTTCAGGCTGAAAAATTGTAGATAGACTTTGCTTTAAGTGAGCCTCTGATCTTTCAGGTGCAAACTTACACAAAGCCTTATCTCTGACAAGGAGATGTTCCCTCTCTGAAAGAGGGAACTTTATAAATTTAGTAGAGATGTAAAATGTAGAGCATACTTACACTCAATATGAGCTCAGAATTGTCTGCTGTATGTATAACACACTTAGTCTGCACACATCTTCCACAACATTCACCTTTCACTGGTTGAAGTTCATATCCCTAGAAATTAAAATTAATAAAAAACAAAAGCACTATGATAGATGGTTTTTTTAGAAATAAATGAAAACATACTATCCCATTAATTGATTACGCTTTGAAGTGCACTCTAGATTTGTTCCTTTCTTTGTCCCAATACAATAGAAGACAAGTAATAAAAGCAGGCTATAGATGGAATAAATTAAAGCACTACAACAAAAATGCCTAAAAATTAAATATCACTCCATTAAGTGCTGTACAGGAATTCCCCAGCTAATCCTCCTAATGTGAACTGAATACTGTAAGTTACACAGTCAAGCTTTGTGCACTAGATTGCTCAAGGATAGTTGGTATCCACACTGGAGTTGGCCTCTGGATTTCTGTTCCCTGTCCTTTGCTTATACCACTCATTAATCAAACTGCTTTTCACATACATGAGTGTGTTGGGATTTATTTGGTTTGTTTTAAGTTTGTTACTTACTGCTTTACAATATGTGTTGCATGGAATATGTTCACATGAGATGATATTCAATTGAGTGCTGACATTAACTTCATTAGTGCAGAAACAATTCTGGCATTTATCAACAAAGACTGACGAGTTAGGCTATAAATTTTAAGAAAAAAAAGGTTTATATGTTAATGAGATATGACAAGTGTGACAAACATTTCTTAATTTCAAAAAAATCTGTAAACCAAGCACTGGAAAAGGAAACAATCATAAACACTATTGGATAGCTATTTATGAAGCTAGCCATTTATGAAGACAACATATTAAGTATTGAATTACATTTAACATGTTTCTTTATTGAAGTCCTGTATAGCAAAGATAAACTTGGATATTAAAAGGAAAGATGTCATAGAAATAGCTGCAATAACAGTTGCTAGACTCAACAGAATTTATTAGGAATCTAAGTCTCTTTAGATTAATACTTATTTACAAATATTTTCCTTTTTCAAAGCAGAGTTTTAAAATTATAATAATGTGCTGACAGTAAATGTGGACTGACTTTTTAAAATGCATGCACACTTAACTCTAAATCCAAGTCTCTCCCTGATACTGACATACAAACAACTCTTCAGTCTCTTTCATACACAGCAACCTTTTCAGAAAATATTTAGGCTTTGTGAAATTGATGAAATCCTGACAGGAATTTGAAAATGTCTAAAATATTGATTATCCTCATAGCAGTTCTGATAAAGTATACCAAATGATCTTTTAAACATTTTTAGAAGGCTGTTGATATAGGAACTTACCAAGAACTCAGCATTCTGATGTACACAAACCCTCTTGGGAACTGTTAACAAGCAAGGAGTTAGGTGGTTACATAAAGGGGAAAAAATGGTCTTCACCTCACTCTAGTCAAATTCATTTCTTCCACAATGAATCACAATGCATATGGTCAAATACATTGGTTGTTCCCCATTTCTCATAACAGACATGGCATATATAAAATATAAGAACAAATACTGCATGTGCAAAAAGGGAGGAAGGTTTGGCCCAATATACGCAGTCCAGTTCATTGCCAAGAATGCCCTCTTAACAGGTACAAGTAGTTCCTTGTTTCAATTACCAAGAACAAAACAGACTTTGTAAAGCTATCTTCTACTGGGCATGCTTACAGGGACGTTTTGCTAGATTAAGCTGAAATCACTGTCCCAGTTAATTCTGCAGCTGTTCTTACATGTACTTACAACCAGGAAACCTGAACTTGAGCCACCTGAGCTCTATCTGATTTCTTAGTTGTTTGTCATAACCATAGTAGCAGTAACCAATGTTATTAGTAAACAATTTGTTGGTTACTAATGTAAGACTGTTACATACAGTCTTACTCAGTATGATGATAATTTATTTAATATATAATGCTAATAATTGTAATATATTTCCAAGGGACTTACCACACTGATACACAGGACAGCACTGACCACTGGGAATATAAGAATGAATTTCAAATCCCAGTTTACACTTGGGGGCTTTAGCTGTGCACAAGCTTGTATTGCATTCTGAAAAAAAAAAAAAAAAAAAAAAGGAATAAAGCCAGAAAGTACACAAAATCATGGCTACTAGAAATAGGCACCTATCAAAGCATTTAGGATAGACTTTCCATTGCTAGGTAACAGGCCAGATCATCTTCAAAGAAACAAATTCAAGAAAGAGAACACATTTTTCCTAGTGAATCCAGGCACTGGATTGGGGAATTGCACTAGTTTATGAAACCTTTTCTGCTATGTAATTACCAAGTTCTCTTTGCAGACAAGTAGTGGACAACTGTTTCTCTCTCCAATGTTGTAGGCAACTGACACAAAATGAAAATCCACATAGAATTCCATAATCTATCTGCATTTTACTTGAATAAAATATAGTCCTGAACTCAAGAACTATAGATTCGGTTATGTTGAGTCCCATAATTGTAAATTCAGTTATGCTGAGTCATTGCAATATTAAAACATATTTTCCCTAACAGTGCACAAGCTGATTTTAAAAAAAGCATGAGGAAAGATACTATTTTGTGACTCCCTGCTGCAAGTCTCTGGTGCTAAATCAGTTCTCTTTTCCTTTCTATTCCTAAAAGGCATAGAAAGACTATAAACAAAAGTATAAACTCACTGCAGGTGACAATGGGGCAGCACGAGTCTTCAGAATTTACTTCATTGACCTCATAGAAGCCTTCTCCATCACAAGTGGTCTTATTTTGTTTGGGACACTCATGAGGCCCACATACAATGCCATTTCCACCTTCCAGGCAAATACAGTCTTGACAGTCTACTGTAAACTTTTCCCCAAACTGTCATTAAAGAAAATAAAGCGAGTGATTGCATGGTTACGAATTAAAAAGAACAGAAGTAAAAACAGGAATGAAAAGTTGGGAGATCACAAAATAAGATTGCACCAGTGGAGACCACTGTCCTCTCCCCATCCCCAGCCTCTACTTGAAATACAAAACATATGGCAGCATACCTCTCTTGGTATCTTATCCACTCCAACACAGCCTGTGAAAATATCAAAATAAATTTCCATTACCACTCATATAACAGTAGACATCTCTACTATACGAGTACTTGTATGAGTACTGAATACAGTCAGATCGATGTTGCATACATGAGAAGGAAGCAACAAAGTGGAAATAAACGTGCATCTAATTGAAGCAGTAAAACTCACCACAAGTTTTCACACAGACATCCACACCAGTGTCATACAGCATTGTTCCATTAGGACAGAAACAGCCTTCCACTTGTTTAGTTGAAGTTTCATTTTGTTGACTGCACAAGACAAAATGTTCAGAGAAACACCATCACTGTCATAGGCACGCAGAGCAACATTATGCCAAATAACCTTTCACTGAAGACAGAGTGGCAAATGATCTGCACATGTGCAATTTAGGAATTGTCAGCGTTCATGTTTGGTATACCAAAAATCATAAACAGTACAGGTACCCAGATTTATGATCAAGAGTACAGTGCTACCAAATTTGACAGTCAATTTAAGACATGACAGGAGGTTGATTTCCCTCATCCATCCATGCATTAGATATGACAAAACAGTTGTATGAGCTATAACTAACAATGAATGAATTATTTACCTTGATTTGCAGGTTATCTCTTTAGTAGGACCACATGCTCTGTATTCTTTACCTGACGGGCATTTATAAGCTGGAATGGAAAAATAAAAAGGAGGAAGAGCTCAGTAACAGTATCATATAAAAGCCCCATGACCTTATGCCAAGAAATGGAACACTGTCTATTCATTTTCCTATGTATCTTTGATAATCTTGAGAAGCAAAGAGAAAAAACCCCAAACAGATAGCAGACTCATGTCTCTGAATGGAATTATCTTATGCAATTTAGCCATAGAGATATAACACCATACTTTACATTAAGGAGATAAAGCCAAGAGTCTACATCTTGATTACAATTTTTTTTTCATAATTTCAGTCTCTTTTGCACAAGTTCTCAAAGGGGAGTGTATTCCTACTCTCTGTCCTCTTCTTACTACAGCTGAACAGGTTGCCCAGTGAGGTTGTTGAGTCCCTGACTCTGGAGACATTCAAAACCCTCCTGGACGCTGTCCTGTGCAACTTGCTGTAGGTGAACCTGCTCTGTTAGGGAGGTTGGACTAGATGATCTCCAGAGGTCTGTTCCAACCCTGACCATTCTGTGATTCTGTGAAAATGATTGCATATTTGACTAAATACAAACTGATCTGTTGATGCCTGCAAAACACAAAACTGCCTGTGTACAAAGAAGTATCTACTGATACAGATGTTTCCGGCACAGTCAATAGATGTATATTTTTGTAGGCTCATTTATCATTTCCATTGTTAAAAATGTTACCCATAAAATTCCTTAGGGAAAGCAGCTGGTGTGATTTATTGGTGTCTTCATTGCTCAGAAAGGAATATGACTTACTGTTAGGACATTATTGCTGAAATAGTACCATATAAGATTCCATAACAGCTTAAGATAAATGGCCAAATACTTACAGCAAACACCATTGGTGTGACTTCTCCAGTCAATGCATACACTTTGATCAGCACAGGTGGCAGCATAGATCTGCAGACTTGAGCATTCCAGGTCCAAGTTGGGAACTAGACAACTATCAAAAACGCAGGCTGCATAGTACTTTTCAGGATGGACAAATTCATGACAGGGCTCAAACACACTAGAAACAGAAACATGTATCATTATTAGTTACTGAATAATCCATGAATTCTTCAATATGCTTAATGTTATAATGTGGCAACAAAGGTGCTTAAGAAGATGTGAACAAGGACTATTACTGAGAGATTTTTACTAAAAACACTTAGCTAGATTGTAACCTTTCAATATATCTTAAAGTATTTTCCACTTACCTACAAAACACGCAGGCACCAACATTTTCTGTCCAGGAGCTACATGAATATTACTGAGTGTAACCATGAACTACTTTTCTAAAGAGATTTTGTTTAGTTTTTTTTTTTTTTTTTATTCTGACACAATGTTCTAAAAATTAAGACCTCTGTTTTCAGTTGGACTGTTTTCTGCTAAGTGAGTGTGGGAAAAGGCAAGAGCATAGGACAGTGGGGTGCAGAGAGTGTAAAAGAATGTGAAAACATCAAGAAAAGTTAACGTAGCAGCCAGAGGATTGGAAGAAAACTATCAGCAAAGAATGACATCTAGGAACAGTAAAAAGAATGGAAGCAACCCACAAAGCTACGAAAAAAGGACCAATAGCTGGAAACACTTTTTATTGAGGAATGAACCCTAAAATTGCCACTTAATTTGAAGATCCCAGGGTTATAAAGCCCAGAGGAATGTCTACCTTCCCAAAAGAAGCTCGCAGATGGAAGATTCTTTGCAAGGCTGCATTGGGGTCGTGCTTGGTGCCTTTGTAGGACTTAGGCCTGGAGAGCACTGCGGTTTGGAAGGATCATCCACTTGCCAATGATCCGCCATGGTTTCACAGTTTTCTGCAATGTTTCCATTTGGCAACATGCAGTCATCTGCTGTGTTGTTATTGCAAATACCTAAAATTGGTAAGGGGAAAAGAATTCACTCACAATTTGTTATCAAATTACATTCATCTTTGTGGCAGGGTTGTCATTCACCTGTTTGTGGTTTTCTGAGAGTACAAAAAATACAGGAGTAAGCCTTACCACACTGCCCGTGAGTGTTGTTGCCAAACAGGCTGTAGGGCATTCTGATAGAAAAGGACAAGCCGTTGTAGGTCACATTCGTTTTCAGCTCAGGAATTTCCACTACACGATTTATGCCTGACTCATAGATGCTCAAGCCAAATTTTTTATAAGGCAAAGCCACTGCCTGTTTGTTTACTGTCACCTAATAAATAAAATAAAACAAACAAAAAAAAAAGACATATATTTAGGCTGACTTTAGAAAACAACTGACTGTTCTTTATTTTGCATTGCAGATAGAATGTAAAGGCAAATAATGTGCTTTTAGTTTGTAACAAGTGTCCCTGTGTTTCCTTTTAAGTTACTGGAAAGCCGAACTTTTCTTTTCTGAGCCAAAGAAAAGACCTATTGGCCACTGATAAACTAGGCTAAAATTCAGAGTTTAAACCAGCTAAATTCTAACACTCAACAGATTTATTAGCATGACTATGGTATTGAGGACACCCCATGAAAGTGCAATATAAAATTCTCCTAAATTCTTAGTGCACAGAATTTTAACTTTCTTGGCATAAAGTGAACATGCTTGTAGGAAAATTAAATGAAAGAAATAAGCCAAAATCTCTATTATTTATTTAAATACAGTAGCCATGATATATGTATGGAACTAACACTGCTACTTTTACTCAGCAATAGTAGATTTCCTGGCTTTGGAGAAAAAAAAAGAGGTCTAAATGTTGCAAATTTTCAACAATATGCTGCAACCTAACTTGTAATATTCCCATGGAGTAATGTACAAAAATAAACTAAACAAACCTACAAAAGCCTGAAACTAAACACTTCTCACCCAGTTTTGAAGCCCCAAAGCTGGGGCATCATATTTGTCAACGAAATAAACACATAAGAACCCCTATTCTGAAAAATGAAAAGGTGACACCAATCACTAGTAATGGTACTTTTTAAAAAATGCTTAACCCCAGTACTTTATTGTTATGTATAATTTACATTGTGTCCTCCCATTCAACATTTATTCTTTTCCTTTGTTACATTAACATTCATTAAAATTGAATTTATTTTATATTCTTAACTCTTACCAATTTCTCTGTGTTTGTGTATTTAGGGAGATAAGCCACAGCAAATATTTGAGATAAAAATGGGAAGAACTAGTAGAAAATTTTCCCCATATTCAGAGTCAAAAAAGCAGTCCTTCAAAGCAGTTCTATTTTATAATTTAAACTGATATTATCTAAAACACATACTCCTTTTAAATATTTTTTCCTAACATAATGAATATAATTAGCAGGTTGATGCTGTATTAATATTTTAATCAAGAAATCAAAGGTAATATTCTCCAATACCTCTACTTGTAGAGTATTTGGTTTGACTACTGCTATGCGCACTTCCTGAGTCTCATGTCTCACAATGAGCGTTCGAGGACAGGAGACTACATCCCGTGTGTCACAATGGTAGTTGTCAATGTAGACACCAAAGTTGTCAACTTTCTTATTAATCTCTTCCACAAGGACGTATGTACAATTCCCTTGATAGCTGTAGTACAGTCCATCAAAAGTTATGTAATGTGGGTCTCCCCAACCAGTGCAATAACCTACAAAAACATACAGCTAGGTTAGCTTCTTATGGCACATACAGAATCAGATCAAACTACAACCGAAATCTGTAGGTGTAGAATTAATCTCATCTATCTGAAAGCATTTATATGTTCAAAGTGTATATGTCAACACATGAGCTTATTATCTATAACTCATCAATAATAGAGAAAAATAGGAACTTTCAGGGCACAGTTCATCTGACTTATTTCTGATAGACAACTGAGAATAGGATTAACTGCACCCTAGATACACCTTACCAATAGTCTCAACAAATAACTTATATGTAGGCTTCTACCCTATAGAGGTCTGAATCTGGACAGTTAAATCTTGCCTTGGGAGACCAATTTATTTTACTAACACAATAGTTATGTAGATATGATGGCAAATTAAGTAAAAGCCCCGATTAGCTAAAAAGAATCGATGAAGCCCTCCAAATAGACAAACACTAGAAGTCTGAGGGTCACAGCCTTGTGCAATACTTGTCCCCTGATAAATATTGCTGCTCTTGACACTGTTTTTCCCACAGGAGATGAAATATTTAACAAAATATATACTCACAATCACACTCCCAGTGCCAACAGCATCCGTCCTTATCAATGACTGGCACTGGAGAAAGCCCATTGGTACATGTAGGTTTAGGAGGTGGATTACAGATTATGGGAACCACTTGGACTATATTGTCTTCTATACATGTTACATTAACGCAGTCACAGAGCCACCATGAATCACCTGGCTGTGTTTGGAAAGAGAAGGGGAGGAGGAAGAGAGAGAAAAGCTTAAGAAGCAGTCAGACTGACAACAGTTATGCCTGAATATCTTTTCAAAGTTTTAAAATGCCATACGTTTATTGATACATTTTTCCCCACCAGAAGTCTGAAAATGGGAAGGAAGTCCAAAAGTCAGCACCATCAAGGGCTGCAAGATGAGCTAGGACTACTGAGAGCTGCGAATTGAAAACCATTACTTATAAAAGTCAAGCCAGTAAACTTTTTCAGTTTCAGCTATCTAAAAGTTAGATGTCCAATCTAATCTTATCACCTAGAGTCCCTCTCTTATCAATAGTGAAAGACACTGATTAATATCTCATCAATCCCCTTCCATGAATGCCTAGAACAGATTAACAGCTAAAGCTACAGTGAACACCAGCCATTTGGGGAGTAATGTCTAAGGTGATTATGTGCATGCATTTTGATTGTGTGCATTTTTTCCTATCTTCCACCAGTTTTTCAGCCATGTATGATTTTTATTCCTGCAGATTTACTGAGCAAGTTGGTAGACATCTAAGATGTGAGGAGGCTTTAGAAATGTACAAGACATTAGCTTCTCTGTGTAAGAGGTGGAGGGCTCCAAAAAAAACAGAACTCCGAGTCAAATTTCACGAGCATTCGAATGAGGTGATCTGTTTCACAGTCCTGCCATGAAACCAGACTATGACCAAGTATTGACTCATTCCAAACTCAGACTAGTTCAACTCTCTGGTTTCTTGTTGGGCTGTGCTGTAAACACACAAATTTTCCCTACTCTGGACCTATTCAAAAGCAGACACAGAAAAGACAGTGTAGCACCACTTAGCCCTTAGTTATGTCTTCATCAGAGCTATCCTACAATAAAGAGAAACATTGAACTGTGATCTACTTACTTGAAGAAAGCCTTTTTTAAAGTATTCTTGAAGAACTACTAGCAGTAGTTAAGCTATCAAACCAAATGCCATTGGAAGTTATGCTGATACCCCAGAAAATAGGAATACATAGAATAGATTGATACATTCTTTTCTATCCAGATTAATATGTACTCTGTATGTTATTAACATTGAAATTATGTGCCTAGTCTCCATCCAAAGTAGAATGCTAAAAAAACCCATGAAATCTACTCACTGCATAAGATTCATTAGGTGAAATGGAACAGTTTTTTCCAGGAGTGGTTGCTGGTGGACTTGTAGTTGAACTTGAAGGACTGAGTGGAGTAACTGTGCTGTACGTAGAACTTCCCACAGTGGTGACTGCACTTGATGTTGCAGTAGGCCCAGAAGTATAATTTGAGGGAGTGGAAACAGAGGTAGTGGTGGTGGTAGTTAGAGTGATTGTGGTAAAATTCTTAGAGGTTGTTCCTGAAGTGGTGGTAAAAGATTCTGTTGGAGTTGTACCAGAGGTGGTGACTGACATGGGGGTGGTTGATACTGATGGCAGAGATACAATAGTGCTAACAGTAGGCACTAAGGAGGATGGTCCTGAACTTGCGGTGGTAGTGATGGCAGTAGATCCTGTCAGAGTACCCTGAGTTGCAGTGGTTGTCACTGGGCTACTAATTTCAGTCATTACTGTGGTGCTGCGGGGAGTGGATCCTGGGGGTGTGGAGCCAGAAGTGGTGGCTGATGATGTTTCAGTGACTCCAGAGGTGGTGACTGTCAGTGTGGTTGTTGATCCTGGTGTTGGGGATAGAGTAGTGCTGGCTGTAGACGTGGAGGAAGATGATACTGAGGTTGTGGTGCTGATGGTGGAGGTGTGTGATCCTGTGGGAGTGCTCCCAGTCCCAGTGGTTGTGGTGGTTGTGGAGGTTGTGGTCTCCTGGCTAGATGTTCCCGTTACTCTGGTGGTGCTGTGGGGAGTGGATCCTGGGGTTGTGGAGCCAGAAGTGGTGGTTTTGGTGGTCGGCTCTGGTTGAGTGACTCCAGAGGTGGTGACAGTCAGTGTGGTTGTTGATCCTGGTGTTGGGGATAGAGTAGTGCTGGCTGTAGACGTGGAGGAAGATGATACTGAGGTTGTGGTGCTGATGGTGGAGGTGTGTGATCCTGTGGGAGTGCTCCCAGTCCCAGTGGTTGTGGTGGTTGCGGAGGTTCTCATCAGTTCTGCATCTGCCTAAGCCAGGCAGAGGCACAAGGATGAAAAACCTCCTCAGAACCCTCCTGAGTCAGGGAACACAAGACCTTCTACACAGGACCCCTGTACCCTCCTCACTTCTGAAACACTCAGACCAAGGGCTACCTGTGGGCACCAGCCATTTCAGGGAACACACAACAATTACTCCCACCCCTGATGCCATGCAGAAGGCACAAGCTGAGATGCTCACAGACCGTCATTTCTCACACGGCAAGGCAACCCACGAGAGCATGGATCAGAGAAGTACCTGTAGGTGTTACAGATGGAGTTGATGGAGTTGATAGGGTGGTGGTGTATGTTGGCGTGGGTGTGGATGTGCTTGTAGTAGTCGTAGTGGGTGTTGTTGTGCCAGGACCAGTTGTCGTTGTCCCCGGGGTGCTGCCGGTGGTGGTGTGTGATGCTGTGGGAGTGCTCCCAGTCCCAGCGGTTGTGGTGGTTGTGGTGGTTGTATTGGTTGTCGTCTCCTGGCTAGATGTTCCCGTTACTCTGGTGGTGCTGTGGGGAGTGGATCCTGGGGGTGTGGAGGCAGAAATTGTGGTTTTGGTGGTCGGCTCCGGTTGAGTGACTCCAGAGGTGGTGACAGTCAGTGTGGTTGTTGATCCTGGTGTTGGGGATAGAGTAGTGCTGGCTGTAGACGTGGAGGAAGATAGTCCTGAGGTTGTGGTGCTGACGGTGGTGGTGTGTGACCCTGTGGGAGTGCTCCCAGTCCCGGTGGTTGTGGTGGTTGTGGTGGTTGTGGTCTCCTGGCTAGTTGTTCCTGTTACTCTGGTGGTGCTGTGGGGAGTGGATCCTGGGGTTGTGGAGCCAGAAGTGGTGGTTTTGGTGGTCGACTCTGGTTGAGTGACTGCAGAGGTGGTGACCGTCTCTGTGCTTGTTGGTACTGATGGTTTGGACTGCTGAGTAGTGGTGCCTACGGTAGACACTGTAGTTTCCTTTTCTGTCGTTCTAGTTGTTGGCCGTGGGGTAGCTGAAGGAGTAACTGTAGTACTCGTCTTTGTCGATGTTCCTGGTTCAGTTGTTGTGCTCTCTTTAAGATGGGGAGAAAACACAGTATTTAATCTCAAGTAGGCTAATCTTGCATGGGAGACATTGATGTAAACACTTTGTCAAGGATCAATGTCAGATGGAACAGCTGCCTGTAGCGTTAAAACTTTATACTGCAGAGAACAGTTCAGCAGTCCTAAACCCAGGGGAATTCCTTGAGTTTATCAGTGAAATCTTTGGTTAATTCTGTATTGCCGTCTTGCTATATTCTATGGATAGACCACCGTTCCCTCTGCTACTTCATGTGGCATGTTCATACCAGCATTGATTATGCTCAGAGTCATTTGATTCTACTGAAACCAAGCAGTTGCTGGAGCAATGTGTACTCCATACCTAACTCCCAGGCCCTTAAGACTACTCACCCACAAGCTATTTTGCCATGCTAGGAATCCCAAATTCACGTTCTGGTTTTTTCCTTCTCTCATGACCAAGCCAGTTTTCATTACGGGCCCTAAGGCAGGCTCCTTTTAATTAGTTTTTGACTAGCATTTTATTAATTGCTCACGAGACTCAGAGGCCAGCCTCAGAGCCATCTGCTTGTGCTTTTACAGCATGACGTAAGACACACATGATAGATGATAGAGAAGCACCGCACACATAGTAAGAGTACAGTCATAATGCTGGAGGATAGGAGCAAGTAAGATACACCACTCTGCCCACACGGTCCACAAGGCCAGTCCCACAGCTAAAATCAATTCACATTTGGGAGAGCACAGGCAAACTTCTTCATGTTCAGGAGGAAACACAGGAACAGACGGTGTACTGTCACAGGGGCAGATTTAGTGGGACGTTAGGGGGTCTCACATTGCTGCAGAAATGTTGACTTGCTTCCCAGCAGTGCAGGGTAAGCTGGAGGACAAGACTCATGGGAATGCTGGGAGAACTCGGCTGCCCAGAGCCTTGGTCTGTAGCAAGGGGCAACCTGCGGTCTCAAACCTTTCCACAGACCCTGCCAGGGAAAATCTTCCTACAGCCAGAATTGCAGGTGAGTGGCAGCAATGCCACAGAGGCTACGCAAGGGAAGAAAGCGAAGAAAATCTGCACATCTGTGCCCAAACAATGACTGAAATGACAGTGCCACACACCCAAGCCCCACTCCCATCTCACATCATGGGTCCTACTGCGTACATTCTCTCCAGCTGAAGGACGAGGTACAACAGCAGCAAAGCAAGATTTCACATCAGTTCAGTATCTATATAAGCTGGGCAGAGACATGAGTATGAGGAAACCCCTAATGTTCCCGATAATCAAAAGAATGGAACTGAGAACCAGAAATTTATTGTTCGCTCAGCCTCCTAAACAGAGAGGTCACTACAGGACCCACTCTGCTCCACTCTTATGAGATTCCACCTGGAGGACTGGATCCAGCTCTGGGGTTGTCAGTACAAGAAAGACACAAAACTTTTTGACTGGGTCCAGAGGAGGGCCACAAAATTATTAGAGGGCTAGAACACCTCCCCTATGAAGAGAGGCATAGAGAGTTGGGGTTGTTCAACCAGCGGAAGAGAAGTCTCTGGGGAGACCTCCTTGCAGCCTTTCAGTGCATAAGGGAGGCTTATAAGACAGAAAGATAGATAGATTTACCAAGGCCGGTAGCTACGGCACAAGAGGCAATGTTTTTTAAACTGAAAGACGGTAGGTTTATATTGGACATAAGGAAGATATTTTTTATGATGAGGATGGTGAGACACTGGAACAGGTTTACCAGAGAAGTTGTTGATGCCCGATCATTGGAATCGTTCAAGGTCTGGTTGAATGGGGGTCTGTGCAACTTGATGTAGTGAAAAAAGATCCTACCCATAGCAAGGGGGTTGGACTAAAAGGTCTCTAAAAAGGTACCTTGAAAGCAAACTATTCTAGGATTCTGTGATTTTTTTTTTTTAAATATATATCAAATATACTCCATCGGAGGGCAAAAATTAAGATTCGTGTTAAGCTACCAATAAACCTTGAATTCTCCCATAGCAAGGCAACAAATGACAGGACAGCGAGAGACTTACTCAATTCTTCTGAAGTTGGAGGCAGCGGGGTTTTGGTGTTTACAATTGGTGTTCCGGGCGTGCTTGTAGTAGTTGGGGTGGGTTTTGGTGTGCCAGGAACAGTTGTCGTCCCCGGGCTGCTGCTGGTGGTGCTGCTGGGGGGCATTGTGGTGGTGCTGGTGCTGCTGGGGGGCTGCGATGTCGTTGTCGTGGGAGCGGTTGTCGATACGGTTGGAGAGGACACTGTGCTTGTTGTGGTTGAAGGTGTGGTTGTCGTGATGCTTGTGGTGGTAGTTGGAAGGCACTCTGGTAAGTCAGGGGTGCAGCAGACACTGATCTCGTAATTGAGGCAGACTGGCATTGGTATAATACCTCCTGTGGGCTGATCTTTATTGTTACAGATGAGCCCTGTCTCAACACTGCATTCCACCTTCTGCCCTAAATCTTCAATGGGAACATCAGGGAATTTCTCTGCTCTGCATGAAATATTCTCAACATTCACGCAGACCCAGGAAGGGTATTTTGCCAGAATATTCTCAAAGGTTTCATAGTCACCACTGTTTCTGTCAGAACCATCTGGGTAACTCACGTCAATCCAGTCTGTCCAGTTGCAGGCACAGTCTGGGGGACAACAACAAGAGGAACAGTTAGAAACAACCAGGACAGAGAAAACAAGCTGGGGCACCACCACAATCAAGGGTGGTCCCCTGGGCATCCACCAATCTCAAGGGTGCCCCTCAGGAAGTGCTACACTAGTCAGCCAACCCTGGCCACAGCAAAGCTCACTCGTGCTGGCAGGCCTCCCCTTCTTGACCCTACAAAGAGCACGCTAGGGCCAAATCTGGACACAGGCACTGCCGAGCCATGTGTGTCCCCACCTCACAGCTAGGGCACATTGCTGTATTGGTCTTGTCGTGTGCAAAAACCACTCACATAAGGCCAACACATGAGGTGGAGCAGGACCAAGCAGGGACTCCCACCATGCTCGCACCTTCTTGTGCCCCGCACACCGCCTCACTCTCTCAGGGAGTAACCAAACACCTGGAAGGCTTGTGACCACAGAGGAAGCAGGCACAGGATACACACTGCGGCCAAAACGTCGACTTCCTTCCCAGCAGTACACAGGCAGCTGGAGAACAACACTCATGGGAATGCTGGGAGAACCCAACTGCCCAGAGCTTTGGTCTGTAGCAAGGGGCAACCTGCGGTCTCAAACCCTTCCACAGACCCTGCCAGGGAAAACCTTTGAAGCTGCCTACAGCCAGAACTGCAGGTGAGTGGCAGCAATGCCACAGAGGCTACGCAAGAGGAGAAAGCGAAGAACCTGCACATCTGTGCACAAACAATGACTGAAATGACAGTGCCACACACCCAAGCCCCACTCCCATC